TTAATAAGTAAAGGAAGAGTTACCTGTCAGGATGTTTTTTTTCCTTCTGTCTTCCTCTGCCTCGGCAATCTGTTTTGGGGAGAATGATGGAAAATATACATGGTCACCAGGGGTCATTTCGTAGAAAAAGAGGTGCAGGAGCTCATTAGCATAACATTAGCATAACTTATTTGCATACACCACACCCCTTGACATCACCGGAAGTGTGTCAGAAGGCAACACCCACCACTCAGGCTCCACTGGACTGTTTTGGATTGCTAGCTATTGGGGGGGGGGGAATGTGCAGATCTGTCCTCACAGAGGAGGGAGAGCTTGTACCTGAAGGCGGGCCGGGGGAGGGGCTCTGCAACTTACCTGGCTGCTTCTTGCTCCTCATGGCCCAACTGAGTGCTGCTGGAAGCAGGGGGTGGGGCTTGTTGCACGTGCCCGCCCCCCTGAGCTCCTTACTGCCGGAACTCCGCTCCTGTGCGCTCCCACAGGAAATGACCCTTGATGGTCACTACCTTTGGTGTCCCGGCACAAACAATGAGTGATCTCCCCTAACCCCTTATGATTTGACTGGTGCTGTTTATTTGAGACTCAGTGGGAAAACTTTCCTAAAGAAATCATTTCGGATGAGACCCTTTAACACCAAATATATATATATGAATGAAAAAGGGTGTTTTTTCCCTTCAAATGTTGCTTTAAAAAAGATCAGTATTTGTACTTCTACAATTCCTTGCTCTCACCAGAACTGCCACTTGCTCCCAACAAAGTTCTTATTGTTTACATATTGGGTGAAAATGCATGGATGTGTTGTGGTGAAACAAACAATGCAGCCAAACTTTGACGTTTACTATTCAGGACATGAAGCCCTGACCTGAACAGCCCAGACAAGCTGGATCACGTCAAATCTCGGAAGCTAAGCAGGGCCGACCCTGGGCAAGTACTTGGAAGGGAGACCATAGGAATACCAGGGCTGGGACGCGGAGGCAGGCAATAGGAAGCCACCTCTGTGAAACATCCAAGCCCCGCTAGGGATCGTGAGAAGTCAACCATGACTTCCTGGCATACTCACACAAAATACCCCCCCCCAAAAAAAGGGGAGAAACCCCCACTATTCTGGACATGGTAAACAAAAAGCCCCCCCCCCCAGCAGCAGCCCTGCAACCAGGTTACTATGAATTACCTTTTTATCCTACCCTCATTCCACAGAGCTCAAGCCAGAAATGTGGGTCTCTCATTGTAACCTTACAACAACCCTGTGATGTAGATTAGGCTAAGAGCACACACGAACTTGTGAAGCGGCCATATACTAACTCGGACTCTTGGTCCATCAAGTTCTCTACTGTCCCCTCTGACTGGCAGCAGCTCTCCAGTGTCCGGGGTTTTTTACATCACCCCCTATTTGAGTCTCTGTAGATGCCAGGGACTCGATCCGGGGCCTTCTGCATGACAAAAAGGTGCTCTACCACTAATCCACAGCCCCTTCCCCTGATTCAAGACCCCTCCCCCATTGAATACCATTGTTCAGTGAGGATTTGAACATGGCTCTCCCAGATTTAAAGTCCAACACTCAACTTTACCATACTGACTCTCAGCTTCTGGCTCACAACTCTAAGGATAGTATAGGAGTTACTTGTAGCCTCCAAAGGACCGGGCCCTCCTCCACAATTTTCTGCTGGAAAGACCTCCCTCAGAGGTCCTCTCAGAGCTAGAAGTCCTAGAACGTAGAGCTTTGGGGTTCATTGTCTAAGCAACGGAATCCCCCTTGCTTTAATACACTCCTGTCAGAAATTCAGTGAATTTCTATTGCCATTTTGAAGGAACTGACAGATTCAAATAGCCATTCCCTAACCTTTGTTTTAGTGTGTTCCGAGCTGGAACTGCCTTTCCTCATTAGCCAGCTCTGCAAAAAATACCATCAAATAGCTGCAACCCCCACAGACACCAGGGAGTCAGGAAGCAGAGAAGCCTCTCCTAGGTCTTAGCTCCCTCCGACCTCTCAAATGGGGCTGACTCTGGCTTCTGGGAGAGTAGGCAGTCATTAGCTTGGTGCTGTGGAAGAAGGATTGGTGTGCCTTCCATGTTTGCAGCCTCCCACCATTTAAGCAGGGCCGGCTCACTAACTAGGTGTTCGCCTAGAGCAGGCCGGCCCTTAGGGGCACCAAACTGCACCCACCCCCCACCCCCCGCCAAAAGCCCCCCTACCCAGTGCGGTCCATTCCTACGACCTGCCAGCCCGTGGGAGGCTCCGCCGGCAGGGGCCGGGAAAGGCGCTGGGGGTGTGGAGGTCTGCTGAGCACTGCCTAAAGTGCCCTGGTTACACTCCTGTGCAATGTTCCTCTAAGCTGTGGAGTCCTGTGAGCAAAAATACTACTTTTTGACTCTGAGCTACTGGCATTGCAAGGGGGGAGGGGGGCATGGGGGGCGCCAGAAGGGATCCTCGCCTAGGGTGTAAAATAAGCTGGGGCCAGCCCTGCATTTAAGCAATTAATTCATGTTACAAAGGACTTGTGTGTAAGCATGCAGACCATCTGTGTCTCAGGAGGGGTCATTTCAACCAGCAACGGACCCCACTGGGGTGCCCCAGGAGTCTATATACCAGGCATCTTGACATAAGTGGGCACAAAGATGGACACCAGAACTGGCAGGCCCTATAATCATGCCCAGGCAGCGACCCTGGGCAGCACATGCGATCTTGTTGTGACCCAGCTGCAGACCCCCCCCCACCCTGACACCTGCATTTGCCAAACAGTGGACCTGCCTCACCCCAAAGCTAACACCATTCAACCTGGATTACTAATCCTACCAGTCTCCCTTCACCTTTTCATCCCCACATTTCTTTCACAATAATAGCCTCCCCTCTTTCCCACCTAACACAAAAGGAGGGTCACCAATCAGCATTGTTTCCTGATTAGTTTAAATTCTGAATCAATGGAGGAAGCAACCAGAGTTTCAGCCCAAACCCTATTTTACATCCAAAACCCCTCCTAAGAATATCTCCTGCTCCCTTTGTCCGTTCCTGAAAATGCTATTCGGCCATTCACAGACACCTCTAGCTAATCTTATCAAAGGCACATTAAGACCTTAGTTTACACGGGACCTAAACTCTCATGCAAACTGTCACAATTTTTCCAGGTCTTTGTTTATCCTGGGAAAGCCATTTTTGGCATTATTTTGAGGCACAAATGTTAGACAAATGTCAGACTGCCTCAGGACACATTTTTCCTATAAAAATAGCATTCAGAGCTCAGTCTCTGTGTGTCTGCCCCAGGCGCCTACTGGCAGCACACCCTCAAACTTTGTTTGGGTCACTTTCCATCTTCACAGTCTCTGCTCCACGGACTCCTGATCTCCTGGATAGGTAAAGTATAATTCCCCCTACACCCTCCTATTATTCTCACTCACCTCTGTACTTCCATTACTAGTGTGTATGTTCTAACATGTTTTATTTCTGTATGTGTGCATTTTATTAGGGTTTCTTCTTTTAATAAAAACAACGCTTTTGGTTAAACAACAGACTGGTTATTGAGAGCTCTCTTAAAAGGGAAAGATGCCCATAGACATAGGTAGTAGATCCTTGCTAATACCTCACCTCTCGCTGAGGCCAGCCATTTAGCTAAATTCCCCCAGGACCTGAAGGCAGCAATTCAGCTTCTTAAATCTATGCTGGTAGGGGTAATGTGTGGCTCTGTGATCCCCTTAGACATGGCTATACCCATCCCTCTGTGCTAATGGGGAAGCATGCGGGGGTGGGGGGATATCCTGTCCCTTTGATAGAGGTTTAATGTGCAGAAGCAGGCAGTTGATAAACCTTTCATGGCATGGTGCAGCATCACCTGATGACTGCTGCAGATCAAACTGATATTAAAGGGACAGCTAGATGGACCAGTTTGTTAGCAACCCTATATGTATCCTGGTGGAGCTTAAAAGACATAAATGTAAAACCAGCCATGTCTTCACAATCACCTACTTTCCACAACCCTCCCTTCCATCTGAGCGACTTCTATAATTAATGTCTATAAACTGTTCGCATCAGAGACATACTAAAGAGGCTTCTCTGCCCTGGGTTTTTGCTCTGGTTTGGCATTGCTTGCTGGGCTGTTGCTCAACCCAGATTTTCTTTGAGTTTTCCCCATGTCTTTTCACAGATCACTTTTGTGGTTTTTCCGAAACAACACAGGGGAAAACTCGAAAAACAAAAACAGGAGAGCAAATGGAAGGGGGAAACAGGCGCAGTTAAGGTGCCAACCTGGAGCAAAAACCCAGCTTGGAAAAGCTAAGAAAGAACAGGCATTTTTTAAGTTAACGTGCTTTGTGGTGGTGCTGGAAAGTGCCATCAAGTCACAGGTAACTGATGGTGTCTCCCGGTAAGGTTTTCAAGAAAATAGACATTCAGAGGTGGTTTGCCCTTGCTTGCCTCTTGTGTTGTGACCCTGGACTTCCTTGGCGGTCTCCCATCCAAATACTAGGCAGGGCTGACCCGGCTTAGTTTCCAAGATCTGACAAGATTGGGCTAGCCTGGGCCATCCAGGTCAGGGATGCTGTGTAGTGAACTTAAATGAGCACCTTCCTTAAATAAATAAATAAATAACAGATCCCTAAAGTTACCCCCCCCCCCCGCACACCTTTTAAGCACCTGGCCTTGCCAACAGTTAAAGCACCCTAGGGGCATGCCTTATAATAAGGGTGGTGGTGATCAGGAGCCAGGGGTAATCTCCAGAGAGAAGAATTGGGAGTGTGCGTCAGTAAGATGTTGTTTGCAGTACGAACACTTTTAGGAGCCATCTGTTGCCAGTGTTTGTTTGCTTTTCTTCCAAGCCAGGAATTTTCCCATTCTAAAAATAAGCTCCAAGGCCTTAATATGGATTGTCACAAATTTTTACAAACCTGTTTTTGGAAAGGTCTGGGTTGGAGTGAGTCACTGCCCCATGATGGCTCAGTGGCTACCAGTGTTCCCTCTAAGCTGAGTTTGTGTGAGCTAGCTCACAGTTTAATAGCCTCCGGCTCACACATTGTTTGTCTTAGCTCAGGAAGGATGGCTCCAGAGCAAGCTAATTCAGGCAGGAGCCAAATCGCTCGCTCACAACTTCAACGTCGATAGCTCACAAAGTAGAATTTTTGCTCACCAGACTCCACAGCTTAGAGGGAACATTGGAACTTGCTACACCTCTGCCCTTAGATTAAATGTGACATGCTCAGCCAGAGAAAAGGGCACAGTGCCTGAAGGTTTCTTTGCCATCTTCTTGGCATGGAGCAGGGGTTACAGGGGGCATGGCGAGGGAAGGTAGTTGTGAATTTCCTGCATTGTGCAGGGGGCTGGACTAAACGACCCTGGAGGTACCTTCCAGCTCTATGATTCGATGATTCTAGGCCTATGTGGAGATACTTTAGCTTGCCCAGTGCTATCCCGTGGGTGTCAGAAGTAATCCAATCTCATGAATATCCCAGAACAACACCCCTTGTGCCAAACAATGGGAGTGACCCCAGTAGAAGTGAAGAATTAGGCAGCCCTTCTGAACTCTCACCAGGGTTGCTGTAGGAATTGTATGGTACACTGAAAATGCTACAAATGTACAATAATAAACTGCTCTCATGGGTCTTATTGAACAAATGGTGGATGGGATTTTTTCCCCATCAGCAAGACGTATCAGAAATAGTTACGAAAGCTAGTGAAAGCTTAAGGCTAGTGGTGACATAAGAACATTAGAAGAGCCCTGTTGGATCAGACCAGTGGTCCATCTAGTCCAGCATCCTGTCTTACACTGTGGCCAACCAGTTCGTCTGGAGGAGCAACAACAGGGCAGAGAGGCTGAGGCCTTCTCCTGAGGTTGCCTCCTGGCTCTGGGATTCAGAGGCTTAACTGCCTCTGAACATGGAGGTTTCCCCTCAGTCACCATGGCCAGTAGCCACTGATAGACTTTTCCTCCATGAATCTATTTAATCCCCTTTTAAAGCTGTTTATTCCTGTGGCCATCACCTACCTCCTCTGGCAGCCAATCCCACATTTTAATCACTCAGTGTGTAAAGAAGTATTTCCTTTTGTCCATCCTGAACGTACTGCCCATCGGCTTCATTGGGTGCCCTCGAATTCTAGTCTTTTGGGAGGGGGAGAAAGAGTTCTCTTTGTCAGCTCTCTCCACAGGGTGCGTAATTTTATAAACCTCTATCATGTTCCCCTAGGCTTGCCAAGTCCCCCCGGGGGGCAGGGAAACCCCCGCCCCAGAGACCCGTTACCCGCCGCCGGCAGATCGGGTCCCGGGGGGAACCCCACCCCCAAAGCATGTGACGTGCACGTCACCCATAAGTGACGTGATAACGTCAGGCATGTTGGGGGCGGGGCCACAATAATCCGAGGGAAAACTCTATCGTTTTCCCTCGGATGATCATGGCCCCGCCCCCAACGTGCCCGACGTGATTGCGTCACTTCCGGGTGATGTGGTTGCGAAGCGGCACTGGAGTCCCCCGCTCCAGTGCCGCTCGGACTTGGCAACCCTATGTCCCCCCTTAGTTGTCTCTTTTCTAAACTGAAAAGTCCCAGACTCTTCAGCCCTTCCTCACAGGGAAGGCGCTCCAACAGTGACCGCGATCTAGTGGTGAAGTGATTTGTTGGCAGAAGAATGACAGTAGTGGTAGGAATATCACAACAAGCTACCCTTTTAAAAATAGCAACATACTGTTCAGGCATACTTGAGCTTACTTCCTCTATGTTTCCATTTAAAAAAGGATATTGCACTACACGGGCGTGGCTAAAGGAGGAATGGGGCCACAATTCAAAGGGAGGATTGGTGGCTCATTTATAGAGCACATGCTTTGCATGTAGAGTCTCCAGTTCAATTCTTGGCATCTCCAGTTAAAGGATCTCAAGAAACAGGTGTTGGGAAAGACCTTTCTTTGCCAGAGAGCTACTGCCGGATAGAACAGCACTGAGCTAGATGGACCATTGATATAAGATGTCTTCCTATGTTCATAGCAGTGTTTGTGACTTTCTTTCATACTTAACATCTCTGCTGAAGACACACACAAGGTTATCCATGTTTCCAAATGTGCGGATGTTAACGCCAAGACATGCATTCAGAATACTTTGAAGCATTTAACAAATGCCTAGGATAGATTATTTAAAAATGGAGCATTATTACTTGGAGGGGGAAAGAGACGCTTCCATTAAATCGTTGAGATGAAGCCCTTACTGGAAACAGTGGGTGGAGAAGAAAGCAGGAACCCTGTGGCAGTCAGTTCATCATTTCCTCCCAGTGCTTTGGTTATCATTCAAAGCATTTTATTTATTTATTAACTAAAATATTTATAGCCTGCCTTTCCACTTGGCTCAAGGTGGCTCAAGCATCCAAATCACCTTGAAGACCAACACATTTCAGAATGAAATTTCAGAAGGCAAATGCCCACCATCCAATGCATGAACATAAGGACCACCTCACATACAAACCTGCCTGTCAACTGAAATTAAAGTGCTCTGTCGTCAGAGGTGAGGCAAAGACAGGGCCTTCTTTGTGTTGGTGCCCTACTTATGGAACTCATTCCCCTAAGATACGCACCTGATGCCACCCTACTGGTATTTATGTGCAAGTTGAAGGTTCTTTTATTTGCCTATGTTTTTACTAGATGTCTTTTTATGTTGCTGCCATATTAACCACTGTTTCCTACATTCATTATATTGTTCCTGAGTTTTATGGGCCATATGACTAGTTCTTATCTGTTAACTGCTTCTGAAATTCTATGGAAGGTAGGCTGTGCATAAAGGTCATAAGAAAATAAGAGAAGTCATGCTGGATCAGGTCAGTGGTCCATCCAGTCCAACACTCTGTGTCAGACAGCAGCCAAAAACCAGGTGCCATCAGGAGGTCCACCAGCGGGGCCAGAGCTCCAGAAGCCCACCCACTTTTGCCTCCCAAGCACCAAGAATACAGAGCATCACTGCCCTAGACACAATGTTACATCTAAGCATTGTGGCTAATAACCACTGATGGACCTCTGCTCCATATGTTTATGAAGCAGGTCAATTTTTGTAGCTACCACCACTTCCTGCAGCAGTGAATTCCATGTGTTAATTACTCTTTGGGTGAAGAAGTACTTCCTTTTATCTGTTCTAAGCCTATTGCTCATTAATTTGAGTGCCCACAAGTTCTTGTATTGTGAGAAAGGGAGAAAAGGACTTCTTTTGCAGCCTTCTCTGCTGAAAAGTCCCATTTGTAAACCTCTATCATGTCACCCCTCAGTCATCGTTTCTCCAAGCGAAAAAGCTCTAACCTCTTTAACCTTTCTTCATAGGGAATGTGTTCCATCCCCTGAATCAATTTAATTGTCCATTTGTGCACCTTTTCCAATGCTATAATATATTTTTTGAGATACAGTGACCAGAACCGTACACAGTATTCCAAATGAGGCCGCACCATAGATTTCTACAGAGGCATTATGAACTATACTGAGTGTTTTGTTTTCAATCCCCTTCCTAATAATCCCCAGCATAGCATTTGCCTTTTTTATTGCAGTCAAACACTGAGTCGACAGCTTCAGTGAGTGACCTACCACAACCCCAAGATCTCTCTTCTGGTCAGTTACCACCAGTTCAGACCCCATCAATGTATATTTATAGTTAGGATTTTTGGCTCCAATGTGCATTACTTTGCATTTCCCCTCGTTGAACCTCATTTACCATGCTGACGCCCACTTGCCTAGCCTTGACAGATCCCTCTGGAGTGCCTCACAGTCCACCCTGGTTCTCACAGCCTGAATCCAATCTTCATGCATCTAATAAAATAGGCTCTTGTCACAACCACAGGGCTGGAATCTAGCGCTCACCTGGGCATGAGCCCCATTCAGCTCTGTGGGATTTACATTCATGTAACCATGCATGCATTTCGGCTGTGTAATTGCCTTGATAGTGACAAAGAATTCCACTATTTTTGCTACAGCATCTCGCATGGTTACCATTCTGAAATTTATTCCTGGAAACTGTTGGGATTTTCCCGGCAGAAAAGACAAGATTATCTATTTATCTGCTCATTGTAAAAATGCCAAAGAATCTTTGTTCAGGTATCAGTTTTTAACCTACCTGTTCTTCTAGTGGCCTCTCCACGCTTAATTCTCTGTTGTGTATGGCTTTATCTAGGAAAAGGGACACACATATACATACAACTGTGATATATAATCTCTCACACACATGCATGCAGTCATGCCCCACGAAGTAACAATAAACAAATCACAGTATTTAAGATTTTCCTACACTACTATAAATATTAGTCCTCCTAACAAAAAGCACAAGATGCTGAAAATAACTCACAGACAGGGGAGCCATTAAGTTACAGAAGAAACAAATACTTGGGGAGGTTCTTGCCTTTGTCTAAGAGCACCTTCAATAGCTTCTCATGCTGGACCACCCCTGCATTTCCTCAACAGAAAACCTCCTTCTAATACACATTTTAAAACCTCCTATAAGAGCTGGACCAAAATAGCAGTAACCTATAATCGGATTTGAAAAATCAAGAGCTTAAAAGATCTCTGACATTCACGGCAAGCTCACAAAGATAGACTTGGAAATTGCTGCACTACAGACAAGGTTGCTCAGAAAGCACTCCAGAATGATGGAAATTGTCCAGAAAGGAAAGCTACAATAAACAAATCTAAACATTCCTTTTCTCCAGGGGTCCAGGGGAAAGATTAAATTACCATTTTCCTTTTCAACTAGACAAACTCAACGATGCTGACCATCAAAACAAAATCTAGATACTTGGAACTAATTTCTAAAGAGAAGGGCAAATAATAGTTGGTTGCACCCACTTGGTATGTGGAAATCAGATCCTTAAAGCTCTTTTTCACCTTATAAGGCAATGAACTGTCGGAGTAAGTGACTGCAAGTGCCCAAATGCCGGGAAGTTTTAAAATGGCTCCTACAACCATGCAAAGTTCCAATGAGTTACATACCTCCTCTGGTGCCCTCGGGCTTGGGGAAGCCATGTACCTGGCCTACAATCAGTGCCAGAGCTGGTATCAGGACAGCTAGCTTGAGAAACATCTTTCTCCCCCTTCAGTCTTCTCGTCTGCTTCCACTGCGGTTTGGAAGAAAGACTCCCTGGTGGAGCCTGAGGAGAGCAGGAGGCTGTTTGAGCAAGATAAAGGGGAGGATGCCTCCTTCCCCTTCCTTTAGCAGGCTTTGTTGTGCTGATGCCTCCCTATAGACTCAGTTGGTCCCAGCCAGCGGCGGTGGCTTCCTGAACCGGGAGCTGTCCAGCCCTGCTAGTGCTGAAGTCACAGGAGCGTCATTTGCCGCTAGAGAAGGCAAGCAGGCAGCTTGCTCAAGGATGTGGCTAGATCTGTTCTCGCTTAGCCTCCCCTCTTCCCTCCCCTCTTGATATCAGTAGATGAGCCAGTTCCTTTCCCCCGTGGATAGCTCAGGATAGCAGTGGGAGGAGAAAGAAGGGGAGGTGGCGAGGGAGAATGAAAGGGAGGGGGGCTGTGGATGTAGGAGCATGCGTGCACCACCTGGTTCCACACACAGCTCTCTAGGCTAACCCAGCCTGCTGGATAGAACGGCTCCTCCTGGGCAGGCAGCAGGCTTTCAGATCCGCAAGCAAAGTGCTGCTGCCTCCGGATGGGCTAGTGTACAAAATCCCCACCTACAATGCAGGTTTTGCTCCCATGCAGGGAGGAGGAAAGGTCAAACACATCACTGGAGATGTTGTTTAAAAAATAAGTGATGCCCATGTTCCTGATGCACCTGGCATATGATTAATAGTTCTAATATACGGCAGTGTTACTTTCCAAGCCCATGAAGCTTAGAGTGGGCAGGAACAATAGAGCAGCAATTCCTAAAACAAAGCTTCAGGGTGAATTGGGGATGTTACGCCACACCTGGTGAGGCTGACGGAGAAACGGTTGGTTTCCAGCCAGGGCAGGAAAGCAGGATATTAAAGCGGCTTTTCCCTTAGGTGAAATCCAATCCCATTGCAGGGGACAAGCACACAGAGCAATTCACTACCTACATTCTGCTCACATCCTCTGCACTTGGCATTTTCATTTTTCCCAACAGCTGCAGGATATAATAAATCAACTGAGCCACAGTTCACCTTCTGTGTTGTGATGACCAGAATTTTAAAAAATCAGGCATGAGTGGTGAAAATAGATCTTCGAGGCTTCTCTATGAATTGGCAGAGACTAAGGCTGCAGGTGTGCATTAAACAGTAGCCAAGCAAGCAAGCAAACAAAAAACACAGGCCACTGGCATGCTAAATATACATTTCAGTTTGTCTTGGATTTTACGCATATATGCCTCTTCCTGTATATGCCCCGAAGAGCATTACGCTCTATGGACCAACATCTCCTGGTTGTCCCTGGCCCCCTGCCTGGTGGAACAGGCTCCCTGCTGAGATCAGGGTCCTGCGGGATCTTCTTCAATTCTGCAGGGCCTGCGAGATGGAGCTGTTCTGGCAGGCCTTTGGCTGAGGCAGCGGGCGTCCATGTATGGCCTCCCTGAGGTTGCTGTCACCCATCTATTAACCCAAATAATATGCCAGGGAACCCCTCACAACCAGTTGATTTGTCTGAACTGTGATTTGTTTTTAAATGCTTATTATTGTGTTTTAAATTTTTAACAGTATTTGTTTATTATTATTGTATAATTACATGATGTTACGCACTCTGAGCCTGCTAGCAGGATGAGCGGGCTATAAATATAAATAATAAATGAATAAATAATAATAAATAAGTCTAAAGTACCCAGAGGACCGAATGTAGCTGAGTTTTCAATAGCAAACGGATTACGTTAAGGGGCATTTCCAGTAAGGATTCCAGCCTTTTGGACTTGAGATATCTTTTCATCTCTTATAGTTCATTATGTCTCAAGGGCTGTGAAGATACTGATTAAAATTTCATTTTGTAAGGAAAATCCATACAGACAAACAGTATGGATTTTCGCAAATTGGGCATTCAAGTACAAATAATGCAGTAGAACTTATTCATACTTCTAAACATCTGCTTGCATTTGTTCTTATTTGGGATAGTTGTGATTTTTCAAAGGCAAATGATAGGAAAGCAGAAAGTAAAGGGTGAACAAAGGTTACAGAAGAGGTTTTGTATGGATACTGTATGATCCAGTGAACTTAAGCATATCTTCAACTCTCCATCCAACTTAAAAGTGCTTAATGGTGGAGGGATTCTGCCCAGTCTTTAAAAATATTTTAACAATAATATAATTCATGCACACTTGGGTGGTGGAAAGTGCTGGCAAGTCGCAGCTGATTTTGTGGTGATCCTGTAGGGTTTTCAATGCCAGTGATGAACAGAAGCGTTTCGCCATTGCCTGCCTCTGCCTAGCAACCATGGACTTCCCTGGGCTAGCCTGAGCCATACAGGTCAGGGCATATGCATAGTTACCTGAAGGTAATCTACTGTACTGAAGCTTATTTTTGAGTTACAGCTGATGCCTGTGCTCAGGTGACTCCTGATTCATCCTTTTATTTTGGTAGCATGTATCGACATAAGTTATCTTTAGCACAGGTATCAAAAGAAATTACAGCATCAACTCTAAACCAAGGATCTACACTGAGGCACAAAAACAGGGAGATCAGTTATTCAGACCTTGATTTTCTGTCCCAGCGTTGCGCTAATGACCATGTTGCAGGCCTTTAAATTAGGTTCCCAATTTTGCTAACACACGCAAAGGTAAATTTGTCTTAAGCAATTTCCTCTCCTCCTTCCACCATAATTACTACGTGCTGTTTTTTTCCAGCTCTCTATTCATAGCCTAATACCCAGAAATACACACTCCAGATCTGGGTGAAATGAATGAGTTGTTGAGGATCCATTCTGTTTTTTGTTCCTATCAAGATTCTTGAGGCTTTAAAAATAACAAAACCAGAAGGGGGATGAGTAATACACCATTGGAAACATAGTCAGAAACATGATAGCTGACTTCTGGTTTATGGCGACACGCTGAGCAGACTCATCTCCCGGACCTCCCGGGGATGAAATCTGCGCAGCAGCAGAAAGGAGGGGGACGACGTCTTGCTACCCCCCGGAGCCTGGTTGAAAGGCTCCTAGCCATGGGACTTTTGAGAGGTGGCCTCTTCGCCAGCGCGATGCTGGGGAATCGAGGCGCTTCTCCGTCCTGACGGTCCTCCTGCTGTGTGTCCATATGGAACTAGTGACGCTGACCAGGACAAGCGCTGGAGATTGAGCGGTTTAAATGGAGCTACAGCGAGGTCGCAAGACCGATTATGAACTGTGAGTCAGATTAGAGCGTAATTGACATTTAAAAAAGAAAGCTTCCACCCCAAGGACT